GATCATAAGATGGAAGTCTCAGGGTTTTTATAACCTGAATGCAGGACATGGCCGACCATTACTCCTGCTGGTTTGTTGGGTGACACAGGCCAACCCTGACATAAGGAGAGAGAGAGGGCCAGGCAAAGGTGTGAATACCTGGAGTCAGGGGTCATTGGCGGCTATCTCAGGGGCTGGCCAGAACCGCGAGGATTGTCAGAACGATTCCGTGGCAGCAGAGTCTTCTCTGTGCCCTGCCTCCTGCTGTCCTGGCCTGAATCTGGCTCCCAGTCCTTCCGTCAACCCCATGATCTGCCCGACACCCTTCCGATATGTTCTCCTCTGTTGGGGTCACAGGCTCTGCCTTCGCCTGAGCGGGCAGCGGTGGGGACTGGGGCTGGAAGGGAGGGAACTCTCTTTAGATGAGTGGTCAGATGGGGCCTCCTTGAGGAGATGCCATGTGCCCAGACCCGAGTGGGGACGAAGGACCAGTAGACGAAGAGTGGGAGGATGAGCACAGAGCTCGGAGGTGGGAGCCCAGATGGCTGGGTGGTGGGAGATAGCAGCAAGTGGGCAGTGGACAGAGAGGTCAGCAGAAACTTGGTCACTCGGGATCTTGAGGCTGTGGTGAGGAGTTGAGCTCCGCCCCCCTTCAACCAGAGCCAGGCACCAGAACCTGAGAAGGCTGAGGACCAGAGCTTGTCTGGGAATCAGAATCAGCCCATCGGTAGGTAGCTTTAGCCAGACATGACAAAGGAAGGCCGTACTTTGTCCAACACACCCGTCTATTTGTAGGTGTTTGGGTTTTCCAAATTTTTGGTTGGGTTCTTTCCTATGTTTCTTAGTTCCTTTTGATAAATTCCAACTCAACTCTGCTGAGCTAAAGGGAAAGATTTTTGTCTACAGTTAGGCCTGGGAATCCCAGCTGGGGCATTTGGTCATCTGGTGGAGACAGACAGCTGCCCAGGACCGTGGTGGGCGGCTCAGGGGGGTCCTGATGGACCCATCGCTCCAGTCTTACTACTTTGCGGTCCTTTCTTAGCTTAGTAAGTACTTGACCAGGGGGCTGGGCTAGGGCTCAGTGGTAGAGCACTCGCCTAGCATGTGTGAGGCACTGGGTTCGATCCTCAGCACCACATAAAGATAAATAAATAAAGGTATTGTGTCCATCTAAAAAAAGAAATATAACTTAAAAAAAATACTTGACCAGCATCTGGCATGTGCCTAGATTCTGGGTGGGCATCAGATCAGGAGGATGACCGTGACACTCTTCCTCATCTCCAGGAATCAAGGGAGAGAGCTCCCTGTCATTTAGGAACTGGCAATAGGGTCCATGTTCAAAGCCAACAGTCCCCAGGTGCCCTGGATCCTAGATAGATACTTTCCCTCCAGCGTTTACTAAAAGAGACAGAACTGGCTCCAATCCACTAGTCAGAAACCCAATTTTCTCCTCCTTGCTCATAGAATAATCCTAGAGAGGATTTTATGGATTTAGTGAGGAGTACAGAATGAAAACTGGGGGGCAATTCCTTTCCCTCCCAACTAAAGGGGTGTGTGTAAGGAGGCCGGCGGGAGTTCTCTCCTGGAGATTCAGAGTGACCGCCGAAGGCGATGGTGGGATGCTGCTCCCTGACGGGAGTCTACTTGGCAGCGGGCTGTGCCTACCTCAGCAGGGGGAAGAAAAGTAGAAAGAGGGGGCATTGCAAAGCAGCGGCCAGGACGCCTGTGTTCCTGTGGGTCAGGTGGACACTGTAGCGATGGGCCAGGCTGGAGCACCTTCTGTGGCTCACCCACACCAGCTGACTGCTGGGCGAGAGGGTCCCAGCAGTGGCAGGACTCAGGTGTTAGGGCGGCCAGAGAACTATGCAGTGGGGTAGCCCCCTGAGAAGCCATGCATGACTCTCGCCACTCGATGCAACGGAGAAGGTTCTTGCAGGGGCTGGACACGGGCCTAGGTGTTTCCCTTTCCTCCTGCCCTCCCCACTCAACCAGGGGAGGACGCTGGGGTGCATCTCCCAACAGGCCTCCTCCCTCCCCTGCTTTTTTCTTCCAGAAGGTAGGGTCCTGGCTCAGGTCAATCCCTGGATGCCAGAAGAAGAGATAAAATGAGATTTAAATTGAGTTTGAGAATAAAGCTTCAAAGGATGGAGGTTTAACAACAGAAAGTGATCCAAAAGTAATGCAATCTGCCCAAAATGTCATTAAGGGATGGGAAAGGGAAATTCAACGCAGCATGGCTGAAGGCAGAGATTAGGGGGAAGGCTTCATTATTAGGCCCCATGGAGCTGAATCGGTTCAATACACTGGTTCCACAAATAAACAGAATAATTGAAGAACAGTGTGGCGGAGCAGCTGGCGGCTCACCCAGGTAAGCAGCCACAGGGTTCCCAGAGAGCCTGGGGAGCTGGGGTTCACATCCTGGGTTGGCTGACGAGGGGGACTTATGAAGGGGGGGGCACTGGAGCCCAGCTCTGGAAGGAGAGTGGAAGGACGTTCCAGGCAGGAATGACCCTGCGGTCCAGTTGGGGAGCAAGGCCGGAGCATCAGGTGAGAGGCTGGAAGGCTGGTGAGAGAGGCAGGGGGGAGGAAGTGGGAAGTTTCTTCAAACTCAGCAGGAACCATTGGATTTGCCTATTAGGTAAGGCCCCCTGGCCTCCAGACTCTGGCAGCGTGAGGATGACCTCCAGGCCTGCCCCTCACTCATTCACCCTGGGCACCCTACAAAGGCCGTTTCCCCTGTGAGTCCAAAATCCTGGCTCTCTGCTCCTGAATGTCCTTTGCCCTACTTCTCTTGATGAATCCTTCACCATTTCCCTCTTGGTCATCTGGTGGAGATGGGACACTGACTGTTGCCACCTTCCTTAAATCATCTCCTTGCTGACTTCCAGTCCACCGGCTCAGCCCTGCAAGACTCCTCTGGGCCCCTCTGCCAGCAGTCTCCACGGGATGCGCATGTACCGAAATATCTTCCTTTATCTTGTCTGGCCTGCGCCCCATGGGGCAACCAGAAGGCTACTATTTATTCTTTCACACATTAATTTAAGCTGTTTTAATTGCTGCTATGATATGTTTTATATAATATAATTAACGTTTTAATTCTGTATACTTGCTTCCCCAGGCAGTTTCCTGAAGGGCCTAATTTCAGAATCAAGCAAATAAGGAATAAGTAATGGCTGAAGTTATTATAGTAAAGCTCCCCTCCCAAAGGAATTAAAACTGTGGGTTTTTTTTTTTCCAAAGGGGGTCAAAAAGGAAATGATATTTTAATCTTCTGATTATCCTGGCATGTTTGGTGACTTTAAAGAAGACCCGAGGGTCCTGACTATGTTGCTGGCCTTTTCCTGTCTGGTTTTCATCCTTTCTATCCAGGGGCACTGAAGCTTGAGATCCGTGTTAGTAGCTTTGTGTCCCCCCCCACACACACACACCTTTTTTTGTGGAGGACCAGAAGTTCTGAACCTGCTCACTCATTTCTTTATTCATTGGACAAATTGGAGTCCTATTTGGTGCCCAGAACTGGGATAGATGTGGCCCCACCCTCCAAAGTTCACAACTAAGTGTGACCAGGCAGAGGGACCATGACTTGGTCCCCATAACTGCTGTGGGATGTGGGCAGGCAAGATGGGGTGGAGTACCACCTCGGTTTCAGGAACTTGGGGAAGGCCTAAGAGGAGACCACATTAAATGGGTTTCACAAAGGGGAAGGGACAGAAGGAAGGCGCAAGGAAGGGTGAGAAACACGGTAAGGAAAAGCAATTGTGTATTTGGGAACTGGGGACAGGAGGAACATGGCTTGAAGCCAGTGTTCCGGGAAGGACAGAGCAGAAATTGATCATGGTTGGAGAGGTTGGGACTGAGCAGGGAAGGGTTTGATCCAACAGGCTAGGCAATTCGGATCACCCCGAAAGGAACAGGGGAAGCCAGAGAGGTACTTAAACAGGAAAGGGCCCCATCCGATTAGATGTGGAGTTTACCCAGGGATTTGCCACAGTGTGGGGGCGGGGTGGGGTGGGGAAGGGAAGGGGGAATTGTCTCCTGGGATGTCGTAGGTGCTCAACAAGTAGTCCCCAAATGAGTGAGATTGTTAGCACAGTCCAGATGAAAGGTGAGGAGCTTCTGAATTAGGACAGTGGCGGAGGTGATAGACAGAGGTTTCACAAGGCTGCCAAGGTGCTCTTCACGGCAAAAGCCAGGGGAGTGGAGACAGTGGCTCCCTCGCTCCCCGTCTCCCAATCTGTGCAGCCTGGCCCAGAACCTCAGAGCTTAGAGGGCGTCATTCCGGGTTCAAGCTACTCAGGGACGCTCCCTGGACCAGAACCCCGTGATCCTTGGTGACACTCCCTGGACCAGAACCCCGTGATCCTTGGTGCCATAGGTACCAGAATGGCTTGGGGAAAGGGGACGGGGACTCGGGAAGTGAAGGCGCAGGGAGGCCTGGGGTCTTCTACCATTTTCAAGGCTGATCCACGTTTCACAAGTGCCTGTCTCCAGGAGCTGGAGGCAGGGCTGCATGGATGGGTGGATGCGGACGCTGGAGCCTGCGCCCACGCAAGGGGATTTCCTTTGAAAGACAGAGAAACTGGATTGGGAAACCCGTTTCCCATCCTCCAGCTGTGGCCTTCCCGTTTTCTGGGGTGATGATGGTGGGGGAACTTCCGCAAGTCTCTCTATCCCTGGGGGGGGGGAGGATGCTTTCGGTTCTGCCGGGATTCCCACAGGTAGCGCGGGGGAGAACGGGGAGGTCTTGGTGGCGACCCCAGCACCCACTGGGATCCCTCCTCTCCCTTCTTCCCTTGGACGCAGCTGGCTCCTAGCCCGCCTCTCCGTGGCTTTTGGGGTCCTGGGGACGAGAGGAAGGGCTCTCCTTGGGGACACCTCTACCGGGGGAGGAGCGCCCCTAAACTCCCGGAGGGAATTGGACTCCTGGGAATGTCCTGGGGGAAACCCTGAAGGGTATGTAGCCAGGGGCACCGTCCCCGGCTGGCCGCGATTGGCCCTCGAAGACTCCCGCCCCTTTCCTGGGCGGGGCCACAGGCTGGGCCGTGGAGTTACTGGACGCGGCGCACGAGGACCGGTGCCCGCGGTCGGCGTCTGGCCTCGCCATGGTCCGGCTGCCTCTGCAGTGCGTGCTCTGGGGCTGCCTCTGGACCTCCGTGAGTAGTCCGCGCCCCACCCGACGGGCTTCCGATTTTAGGGTGCGGAATGGGAGGGAAGGAGCAAGACCTCGGGGAAGAGGCCCCCCCGAGCTGACCTAGGGGCGGGGAGTGCGGACCCGAGGGAGTTGGGGAGCAGGAGGGAGTGGGGGAGCGGGCCAGGTACCCCATCGGGGCTGAAGGTGAGGTGGGCAGCCCCTCGCCTAGCGGGGTGGGGCTCCGGGGTGGCCCGCCGACTGCGTGGAAGGGTTGGGGCGGGGGGAGCCCCGGCTTTCATCCGATCCAAGGGCTGGGTCCGGCTCGCCTCCGAGGCCGGCCACGGGAGCTGGAAGGGATCCCGAGGGCGGGAGAGGAGGCCGGCCAAGGGAAGGGGCGGGTTTCCTGTCCCTTCCCTGCCTTTTCCCACTGTGGACAGAGGCCAGCCCTAGTGGTTATCACTTCCTTGCCAGTTGGGGCTGCTTTCTTCCAGGGCATCTGGCGGAAACAAGGGTTGGTGCAGAGGACCAGGTACCTCTGGAGGAGGCAAGGCGTTTTTACGCGCTCCCTTATCCTGGAGAGACAACCCAGAAGGATCTATGTATGCCTCTACCTCTTGAATCTGAGATGACCTAGGGGACCCCTGGGACCCAAGAAAAGGTTAGAGGACCAGCAGGGGACTCTCCAGGCACCAGAAGGGCCAGACACAACCAAGCGTATCTCCGGGATTTTCAGAAGCTCACACTTGATTCACTTTTGGTTTAAAATGTACTTTTGTAGTTCCTCATTCTGGAGCCTGGGAATTCCCCGAGTACCTGACCCTCTCATCCCAGCCCCCCTGGCAGCCCCCTACTTTCAGGGACTCTTAGATTCTGCAGTGAGGTCTGGACAGGAATGACCCAGCAGCAGGGGAGGACGTTGTGAGGGGGAAGCCGCTTTGGTCCCAAGGTTTCATTTTCAATCTAAACAATGGCTCTTAGGGAAGCAGGGAGGTCAGGAGGGTGGAACTGGAGAGGGTGGACAGTGGGGAGGAAGCGCAGGGGTGGTCAAGGCTTCTCAAGAGCAGTGTGCTCCATGACCCTTCATTTGGCCTCCAGGTAGGGGCTGGACAATAGCAGGGGCTATTCATCAAGGTCTTCCTGTTTATGGAGCTCCGAGGAAGATGCTAAGTGTATTCTCGACTTTTCTCAACTCCCCATTATACAAATCGTGCAAACTGAAGTTCTGAAAGGGGAATTGTCTTGCCAAAAGTCTCATAGGTACATACCGGTAGAACCTGCATATGAATTTTTGTTTGAAGATGGCATCAAGGAATTTCATTGCTCAGGGAGCGTGGTAGGAAGGTCTGTGTTCACTGGTGGGGGCTTCTGCTTGGGAGTGGTAGCCTTTTCCATTTCCTTCCCAATTTTGGATAAGACACATATTTTTGTAAGTAGTTTTCTCAGCAACCCAGGTTGAGTGACAGCTGCTGATCAAATGGGTCCTGGACAGACAGTTAGCCAGGGTACTGGGCATCCAAGCAGATACTCATCTATATATGGTGAGTAAAACTGCCATTTAATGAGCACCTACTATGGGCTATGTACACGTGTTCTTTCTCATCTTCTCAGCCCAACCTGCACAGCAGGTGTCATTACTCCCATCTTGAAAGCCAGGAAAGGGAGGCTAAGAGAACTAAAATAACTAGTATGCATTATAAAATCCACAGCCTAAAGCTATCTGATTCTCAAACGTATCCTCTTTTCCCTGGCTGTTCCCAAAGTGTGGGATGGTTTTAGGGAGCACATGGATATGGAACTAAATATAGACTCTTTATAGTTCTTTTAAAAATCCTTCTTTTTTTTTTCCCCCAAGGAAGAAGTCTCTGAAGCTAAAATATAGTAATGCCTCTCAGAGGCTTTACTAATCCTCCTTCTTAACTAAAACCACGAGGAATCCTAGGGAAGAGGGCCTTTAGCTAGTAAAGCAACCACCCGGGGTTTAATAGCATTGTTTTATTTCTGTCAAATTTATTTTTAGGGTTTCCTTTTATTTATGAGAAGTGATACTGGTTCTCTGACGGCAATGACATGAGGTTCGCATTCAAAAGAACTGTATTTAAATTAGTAAGAAGCCAGGAGTCTCATGGGTGGTGCATGGTAGAAACGGTGCAGGTAGAACACAGCCGGTGGAGAGGTGGAGAGAAGGTGTATTGCAACCTGTGGGTTCTGCCCCTGTGGGACCCTGGGCGCAAGTGACCCAGTCTCTCTGGTGATCTACTTCACCATCTGTAAAATGAAAGAATCAGATTCTGTCCTTCCAGCTTCACAATCCTCGCGTCTTGTGAGGGAGGGGTGGGGTGAGCAAAATGCAGAGTTCGGGGGAGAAACCCTGTGGGTCTTGGAGGTGGGAAGAATGCGAGGAGGCTCTGAAGCCCACCCAGGACTGGGGTCCTCTGAAGCCAGCCAACCTCAGGACTCCCGGGGAGGTATGGGAGTCCTCCCACCTGTTGAGTCTGGGAGGAGGAAAGACTCGGGAGTCAAGCAGGTCTGTTCAGTTCAGAGAATACTGAGTTTCCAGAGCTGTTGCTTTGTAAAAGGCCAGAATGATTCTCTGGGTACTTTGAAACTCAGATCAGTTGGCCGTTTAGTTAAAGACAAACGCCCAGCTCTACGCAGGCTTCCTTTTCTGATTTGGATCTCCATATCAGGGTTAGCCTCTGTCTGGCTGATTTTCAACCCTCCTGCCAAGGAGGTGACGGCAGAAACTTGAAGATGATCTTGTTTTCAGGTGTACCCCGAGCCACCCACTGAATGCGGAGAAAACCAGTACCTTCTGAACAATCAGTGCTGCGATAAGTGCCGACCAGGTGAGACGCCACCCTCAGTCCCACTGTGGGATGCCTCTTGGTCTCGTGGCAGATGCAGAGCCCATGTTCTAACGCCAAACTGGCCTCTGAAGCCACCCTGGCCCTTCCCGGCCCTGCCGTGGGAACGTCCTGGTTGCCTCTCTGCCTGGTAAACCTCGGCCGACTCCAACCTGGGGGTCCTCTCTCCTCCATCTCTCCACCAGAAGGGTCACCTTTAAGCCCCCACCTGCAAGCCCGGCCCGATCCTGTGGAGATCAGGCCCCCGGGGCCGGCGCTGCCCCATTGCCCGCTGTCTTCCAGGAGAGAAGCTGGTGAACGACTGCACCCAGCTCACCGACACCCAGTGCCTGCCTTGCAGTAAGGGCGAGTTCTCCGACACCTGGAACAGAGACAGACGCTGTCACGAGCACAGATACTGCGACCCCAGTGCGTGGGCTTGGGGGAAGGGACACGTGGGGACCTGACGGGTGTTTGTGACCAGGCAGCCACTTTGGTTCTAGTAGCCAGGGCCTGTTCTGATTGGTTGGAGCCGGGGTGGTCCTGGGTGGTCATGGCAGGCTGCGCCGGGAAGAGGGTCTAAGGACACTGAGCCGGCAGCGTGAGGAGTGGGACTCCCACCTGGCGCGGCAGGTTCCCACCTCCCTGCCCACTGTGCTCAGATCTCGGGCTCCGGGTCAAGAGAGAGGGCAGCACAGAAGCAGACACCCTCTGCGCCTGCCAGGAGGGCCGGCACTGCGCCGGTGGCGCCTGCGAGAGCTGTGCCCTACACACCCCGTGTGGCCCTGGGCTTGGGGTCAAGCAGCTTGGTAAGTGGTCTGTGGGGGACGGCTCTGGAGGTAGGGGGAGGGCGGGGGGCCAGATCGCAGGAGGTGGGCAGCGCACCCAGCTCTCGAGGCGGAGGAAAGGGAGACTTCAACCAGGTGGGTTTCCGCTGGAGTGAGCAGGGCCCTCCGCCACCTGCCTCCTGCCTGTGGGTAGGTGCCGGGGAGGCAGCAGGGCCTCCTGGGCTGCACTGTCGGGGGCAGCCCTCTGCTGGCTTCCCTGAGAGCCAGACAGGGAGCCCGCAGTGACCTTTCCTGTCCCCTCCCCACCCGCTCTCAGGTACAGGGACTTCTGACACCATCTGTGAACCCTGCCCCGTCGGCTTCTTCTCCAATGTGTCATCTGCTTTTGAAAAGTGTCACCCCTGGACCAGGTATCAAGGACTCTCACCCAGGGGAGCCCTGCTCCATCTCTCTCCCCACCTCTGCCCCGGCGCGCCCCCACGGCCAGCCCAGGGGCTTCCAGGGTTTTCTTGTCTGCTCTCTGAGTGACAGACACCCTTGGCCTCTTCATCTCCTTGAAGCGCCCTTCTGCCCCCTCCTTTTCCTGCTCCTTCCGTGCTCCCCCTGCCGTGTGCTAGGCTCTCTGACCACTCGGCCACCTTTCCTGGGCCACCTCTTGGGATCCTCAACTCCCATCTCCCTCGGGGGTTGCCAAGCAGCGTCCCCTGTTTGGATCTATCCCCTGGGTCCCAGACTGTCTGCTGTTCGCTCCTCGGCAGTGACCCGCCGGCTTCTCCAACTCTGTCCAGATGGCCCCGCTGCCGGCTCCCCTTCCCCGAGGAAAGGGCCCGCTGCGACTCCCTCCTTACCTCCAGCTCCAAATTTGGCCCCCAGGTCCTGTCCCTCTGGCCCGGGTCTCCCTGCTCTGTCCTGAGCCATCACTTTAGTTTGGCCTCGTCGCTGTCATCTGCTGATACCTTCGCCTCCACCGGTCCCCGCTCATGTCTCCTCTTCCGCCGCTTCTCTCTCTCTTTTATTCATTTTTGATTTATTTACTTATTTTTCAGGGCTGGGGACTGAACTTGGCCCCACATGCTGGGCTGTGCTCCACCACTGAGCCCTGTCCCCCCTGGTTCCCCCACCTCTTGCTAAAGTGGGCTCCCAGTTCCCCTGGGTCATGCTGTCCCCCACTTCAGGGTTCTTGGTGGCTCTCCTGCCTCCGACAGGAAACGCAGACTCTTCAGCACCACATTTACGTGGCCTTTCCTGACCTCCTGTCCCCGCCAGGCTGCATCGTGCTGTCTGCAGTCCCCCGAGGACACGGTTTATTCTGTTGGCTTAGACTCTTCTGCCTGGAATACACTTAAACACATGCACCATTAATTTTTTACATCTAATTTTAAAGAACGGGTAACACAGGCTCCTGGGACGGACAGTACCAAGGGGCCCACGTGATGACCCTCCCCCCAGCCTCCCAGTTCTCCCTGGAGGCAGCCTCTGTTTCTTGAGGGTCCTTCCAGAGATCCTGTGCGTGAACAAATAAGTAAGCACACACACTCTCTCCTCTTCTTTATTTTTGTTTGTGGGGCTGGGGATGGAACCCAGGGCCTCGCACACGCTAGGCAGGTGCCCTACCGCTGAGCCACACCCCAGCCCCCCCTTTTATTTTCTGTGGCCCACCACATATGCTCTGCTTCCTGCCTGCCGTTCCCGGTGGATGCAACTCCTTAAATGTAGAGACGGGGCCTTTCCCAGGCCCAGCCCCCAACCCCTGGGCCTGGCCTGTGCTGCTGTGGGGCAGGCGCTCCTTGGTCTCTCCTGGTAAGTCCTGCTGCTGCCCTGGACTCCTGCGCAGGTCCAGTCCACCTGCAGCTCACCTCTCCGAGCCTTGTCCTCCCCTGAGAAATGGAATGACCTTCCTCTGACAAAGCCTGAGAGGAAGACATTCAGGAGTGTGTGTAGACGCGGCAGCAGTCCTCCCGCACGACCAGAGGACGCGCTCTGTCCTGAGCTGCTCTCTCTCTCCTGCCTTCAGCGGGTTTTCCTTTGCAATGTCCTTTCCTGTCCACCCGTCCCCTCTCCTGCTGGGACTCCCTGGGACCAGGTCTCATCTCATATCCAGGCTCTCGCCGTGCCTCCTGGCTGGCCACTCTTCTGCTGACCCCCCTCCGAGCCGCTGGTCAGCTGCTGCTAACTCAGTAGGTTATGTGGTTGGATGCTGGGGACTCTCCCAGCGGCATCCAGTCAGACCCTCACGCCTGGCCGTCAGCTCTGTCTTCCTGTGGCTCCCCAGCACCACCCCATGTGCCAGCTGCCTGGTCTCCCCCCTCGGCCCTGTCTGCTTGGCTGGAATGCACGGCGGCTCCAGACTTCCCACCCTCAGGCCCTCTCAGATCTCCTCCTACAGGGAAGCCCTTCTGCAAGCCTTTCTTAAACCACAGCGTCTCAGCCAGGCGCAGATTTGCTCCCTGTGGGACCTGGGCCGTGTCTGGACACCTTTCTGTCACCACTGGGGAGGGGAAGCTACTCGTATCCAGTGGGTAGAGCCCAAGGATGCTGCTGAACGTCTTACCTTGCTCAGGACCACCCCCCCTCGACACGGGATTATCCAGCCAGGAGGTCACTGGTGCCAGGCTGAGAACCCTTCCTTAAACTCAGCTCAGCATCTCTCCCCTGCAGCCATTGTGGATGCCGCCTCTGGGTGCCCACTTATCAGTATTCCAGGGCTGGCGCTCACTATTGACCCCACTGTCCATCACTCCTTCAAGACATGTGGGCGTCTTTCCTTTGCCCCTGTGAGGTGCAAAAGAACAGTCTGCGTCCTTCCCAGGATACGCTGCCGGATGGGCTGTTGTGGGGAGTGTGAGCTCTGTGAGCCTGCCCTTGACTGCCCTCCGCTGGGGTTGGATACTGATGGCTGGGAGACTTACCATTTCTCTCTCTCTCTCTCTCTCTCT